TATTTTTGTTCACAACTTATATGAAAATAATTAAAATTCACAGTTTTAATGAAAATTCATCTTTAGAATATTTATTTATCACGAATATCTTTTCATTGAATTTTCATCTTATAACCCTACATTTTATGAAGTATTTAGGGATAAATATATAATTTTAATATTTTTAATAAAAATTCATCTTAAGAATATTTATTTATCACGATTATCCTCTTAATAAATGTTCAATTTATAACGCCATATTTTTCTCGCAACTTATATGAAAATAACTAAAATTCATAGTTTTAATGAAAATTCATCTTAAGAATATTTATTTATCACGAGTATATCCTTTCAATAAATGTTCATCTCATAACGCTATAATATTATTTTGTTTAGAACTTAAGTATAAATAAATAAGAATAATAGTTTTAATGAAAATTCACCTGAAGAACATTTATTTATCACGAATATCTTTTTAATGAATATTCATCTTATAACGCTACTTTTTATAAAGTATTTAAGAATAAATATATAATTTTAATAGTTTTAATGAAAATTCATCTTAAGAATATTTATTTATCACAATTATCCTCTTAATAAATGTTCATTTTATAACGCCCTATTTTGTGCAACAACTTATGTCACAATAATTACATTTTATAGTTTTAATGAAAATTCATCTTAAGAATATTTATTTATCACGAGTATATCCTCTTAATAAATGTTCATCTTATAACGTTATATAGTGTTAAATTTGAAAAGTTCATTTCTAATTATATAAGAATGTTTTTTTTTAAAAAAAATTAAAAGAATTTTCATACGTAATTAATATTCCATAGCATCATAATTTTTTTGAAAATCTTATTCATGTATCGAAACATGTATGTTCTAAAAGCATTATTTCAGAATTTTAGTTATGAATACATCATATAGCACCATTATTATTCAGAAATAAGTTGAATATTTAAGATTTATCTGATAAGATTTAAAATATATATTCTACAACTACAAATATTTCTCACAGTTTTAAACATTTTACACACTGCTAAATATTTCTAAGAGATATGAAGAATTGAGCTCAATTAAATATTTTAAATACATAATAACAAATAGAAATTAGAACACAGAGTTAAAGTTATAGTATAAAAATATTTTTTGTTTCAAGAATATTGCATTATTTAAAGCATATATTTCCTTGCTTTGATTAATAATTAGCCTTAAAGAAATTATGACAACCAAGTCTTAAGAACTATATTAAAAAATAAGAACTTTTAAAGTTATTATTTTTTTGGAACGTTTAAAAAACACAGGCATAATATGAAAAGATATTAAGCTAATCAGGCGAAATATTTATGTATCTTCCTGGATCATTTTACGTTTGTATACAAATTCCAAAAAAAATATAAACTTAATTCCGGAAATAATTTTATCTTCATGCTTTTAAACTTTCTTTATCTTTTTCAATAATTAATTTAATATGTAAATGGCATAAGCCAAAGAATATAGAAATTTTTTAATTTTTTTTTAAAAAAACTGATATTAATGCAATTTTGAAGAAATTTGTTTAAAACTGACATTAATGCGATTCTATGCAAATTTCTGAAAATTTGTTTAACCGATACAAATAATCATTTATATCTGTTATAATTATGACATTGAGGAATACACCTTTTTTAGAAAACTGATATAAATGTAATTTCAAATATGATTTTGGGTGTTAATGGGGTTGATTAGCCATATAAACATTCCTCAAACAAAAGAATGAGTGTAATTTTCACTAATGCAAAATCCTAATAAACTGCTTTGATAAACTATTCAAATTTACTACTTTCTCCGTCCCAAATTAATTGCTACATTTAGGTTGAAATTTTTTTCCCTAATTTGTTGCTACATTTGAAATAAGCAGTGTCATAAATAACTTCGACGTAATTTAGTAGATGGACACCAGTAATATTATACTACTGACAATTACAAGCAACAATTAAAAACACCAGTCAAATGGCGGGCCGCAACTTTATCAAAATTTTACATAGGACTCTTTTATGTTTGAAGGAACATTAAATATTACTGTCAGACTTTTATCAAGTTGTACAAAACAAAAGTATTGAATTACAAATTAAAATAAGATGTAGATTTTTACTCGAGAAAAATTTTTTTTAGCACCGTTGGTATGTTAAATTTCACAGAAACGAAGAAATTATGTTGTTTTTTTAACGAAAGAAAAGTATTTTAAACCCATACAGATTCTTTACGAAAATTGTCCGCAAAAAAATGACAACTAATATATTTTAGCTCGTGGGTCACAAAAAAAAGGCTTCGCGGGCCGGAAGAGGCCCGTGGACCGCCAGTTGGTAACCACTGAGCTAGAAGATAGTTTTATACGATTGTTGATGGATGGCCATGCGAAATGGGGCGTGGTATAAGAGTGTGCGAACCCTGGATTATTGAAACTAATTTAGTACTCATTTAATAAAGGGATGCATAGTAAATAAATGTTGCTGATTGATAGTATAGCACCCTAAATTGTCAGAAAAATATTTAAAAATATCATAAAATCATCAGTACAAAATTAATTAAATTTTGCAATAAATTTAGGACAGAGGGAGTAATTTGTTTTAAAAAAAATAGTTTTCCGAATACTTAATGTAATTTGTCAATATATAAAATAAATTTAATATCAGTTTAGTTCAACTAATATCAAATCCTACAGTATCAATTCTAGTATCGATTTTTAAAGTATCAATTGTTGAAGTTATTTTTAATTGCAAAAACGGTAATGTGAAATCCATATAATAATAACAATGCTGTTTAAGGAATTCCATTCAGCTCAAGATCATTGATTATCGGTTATATATAGTTATTTGTGTAGAATACAATATCAATAATGTTAACTGTCAGATGGTGAACAATGATGTTGACTTTGATTACTTCAACCAGTGCACCGTAACGAGTGATAAAACGATGGACCATTCTCTTCTAATCCTAGGCTACCTTGTTTTGTGTTTTAATTTTGTTTTGTTAGCCCTTTGGAACGGCACGCATTGCTAATGTATTAAAATGCACTTTCATTTGGAACATATCAATCTTCTGAAACTATTAGATTGCTTCGAAAGAAAAAACTAGATCGCTGAGTTAGGAAACTTATATATAATTACTTTTTGTTTTATAATGTTAGAATTAATCCAACTGTTTTAAAAACATTTTTCGTATCATTAATAAAAAAAAGTAAATTGATGAATCTATATCTAGATCAAGAATCATTGCTATATGTATTTTTTTAATAGAGCTAGGAATTTAGTTGTTTAGTTGCGATCTGTACTTTAATTTAATTGAAACATACTACTCTGTTTTAAAAGAGTTTTGAAAATGGCAAATATATTTAATCATAAATGTATGCTTTCTGCTCCTTAAGTATCATATAGCATTTTAAGTTTCTAAGTCTATTTTACAGAATTGGCAAAATATTTATCGTTTCACTTTTAGCATTTAAAAATGTTACCTCTCAGAATTTTTGAAACGCGCTTAATTATAACATTATTCCCATTTGCGTCAACCTTAAAGCGATGCCGAATTAAGCCATATTATCGTACTAATTAAATAATCTTGAAATTTACTAAACGACAATATGATTCAATTTAACACTTTATTAGGATTAAAACAAATTGGCATAACATCAAAGTACATGAGCGATATTATGTCTCAATTTTGAACCAAATTTATGAGAAATTTCCCATCAAAAATAATTAATTTTATTCATAAATCGAGACTTTACTGTTTACAGTTTTACTGTAAAAGCTTCTGCAGAAACGGGTATTAACCTGAATTGACAGCAACCACTCTGAATTTAAGCAAAATGTTTAATTTTGGAATTCTTGTGTTAAGAGCAATAATTATTAACAAATAAGAGAAGAAAAAAAACTTGCAATTGTGCCATTCCAAAAGACGTAGTGTCATAAAAGCTCGCTCTTTTACCTAATGTTTTTATTTCAAATTCTCTAGATGTAGAAGAATCATTGAACATTAGATGTAACAATGCAAAAGCGTAATATAGTGTAAATCTTTGTTGTTAGGTCCATTGTTCTTTTAGAACAAAGGATGTTATTAGTCAGGCGAGGCTCAGGAGGAATAAGTATTAAAAGCAGCGTGTATGTACTTATCAAATCATGCCAACTAATTGTTGGTATTGTTCTTTTTCTCGAAGTTCGAGTTGCTTCCAGGAAGTCATTGCGCAGTTTTCCAGAACGGAGGAAGTTGTTAGGGCCACTCAGGGGCATAGAGAGGACGAAAGATTCTGCTAATCCATAAGATGGTTGGAGAGTTGAAGGAAACAACAGGTCATCACTATTGCATGTTTACATCGCATAATGTGAATCTTTTGGTATTGATAACGTTTCCCTTATCTAAATTTTTTTAAGCATTGCTGTTGCATTAAGAACATACGCATTCTATTAACTCAGAATGTATCAATTCTATTTCAAAATATTGCATGCATTCTAGTCATGTGCAAAAAGTCTAGCTGATACAAAAAGTTTTATTTATAAAGATTCTAAAGCTTTTCTAGAAACATTAACTCCTAACAAATTACTTAATGAGATTAGTTGTATCTTAGAATAATTGATAGAAAGCATTTTTGTTCTATCATCAGTATAAAGTTTTCTTTATTATCTCTAACTGACTTAGCAAGAAAAGCATCAAGTATACAAAAGGCTGCAAAGTATCATTGAGTTAGTTAATAGCAATTTATATAATTAAGAGTCTTTTTATAATCAGCTTTTAGAAAAATAACTAGGGCTCCTAATATGAAATGTAAAAAAGAATTGATTTATTATATAATTCATTTTCCTAACGATAAATAGATAATTTTTGGAAGAATTTTTTCTCAAAATTTCATGACTTGATGTTTACAAGTTCGAAATAATATAATTTCCTTTGCGAAGTACCAAAAGAATTTTAAAAATGCTTTAAAATACTATGATATTTTGAAAAATCTATAAAATAGATATTTTATCAAAGTTAATGCTTTTAGTATTAAATATTAAGTAGAGTACAACTAAAAATTCAATGATACTTTGAGGGACAGGGAACAAATAAATTTTCTAAAAAGCACTTCAGAACATATACTTAGAGAAGAAGAAAAAAAAATATAGGTATGGCAAAAATTATTCAAATAGAACATCTGGAATATCTTGTCCTAAAGCAACTTTTGATAAGGCGATGTCTATAGGTTTGTTGGGATCATAAAGTGACGGAGCTTGTAAAAAGATACCACAAGTGCCAGCAATGCAGGCAAATGTGAAAACGTAGAGAAATAAGCGGTCGATGACCATAGCTACATACTTCCAGTCCTCCTTGATCTGAAATTTGAAAAAAAAATCTTAATTTCTTAAAATATGAAATATTATACAAAAGAAAAAAAAATTCAATTATTTAATATCCTTTTGTTCGTTAAATAGGTCAGTTTTAAGGCAACGAAAAGTTTTGCTACAACTCATAACCATGTTGTTGTTGACGTATGCCTGTTCAGGCAGAGGGGGTGCGATTGTTCTTGCTTTCCAGTGGCGCCATCTATGGCCAAGAATTCGACTTCTGTCACACCATACGTCACACCCGTTTATAGGGCGGACCCATTCATACAACCATTCATTCATCCACAGATCGTAATTTTGACCCGAATCAAAGAATGATCTATCTCCAATCCATTACCCCCAGAGATATTGATTTGTTATGGGAACATGGAAGACTTTTGCGACTCGACAGATTTAACGTGTATGAGGTCACTTTACCACACCAGCCGGCGGGTTTCGAACCCACAAACTCTCGGACATCGGCCCAGCGCCCTACCAACCAGGCTATCCCGGCCCAGCTCATAACCATACTAGTCTAATTTATATCTATCAATTTTTGTGCTGAATGCAATTAACTTATCTACGAGGTCCGTTGTCTCACAAAAAAAGTTGGTCGTTAATTAGAATCTAATAGAGGTAAAATATACGAAGGTTTTTTATGTAAAGGTTACAGTAAAACAACTCATTTATTAAAAAATAGAGTTAGCCCAGAAATCGGCATATAATCATATATTAACACAATATAATATTATATACCTATATTAGTATAATTGATACTTATTACATTACCCTTCAACATTTTAGTTTTGTGCAAAATATGTTTGTCAGTTACAGCCAACTAAAGCTGAAATTTTTTTTTGAAAATAAAATAGTATTCTTATTAGAATTTGATAAGGAGTTTGGAACACGATAATTTCTCTATCTGACCTTTACTTTACTATAAGAAGTAATGGGAAAAAGTTCTTTTAAATATAATTCATTAAAATATTAATACACTATCTTTGCTACCACTGAAAAAAATATTTTATGAATCTACGGAAAACCTGTGGTAAAATTCTTATCAAAATTGCACCAATTTCCATAACACCAGTGGTACATATTGCTGTCAGTAGTAGATACATATTAATAAAGCGTCATTTGCGAATGGCAATTTTTCACGGTTTTCTTAAAAGTATTGCCCATTAACCTTTTCTCTACTAACTTTGACCGCAAGTTATCTTATTCTATTTTAATTAATACATATTTACAATATTAATTAGGCATTCGCATCAACAATATGGCAATTTTTACGGTTCTTCAAAGCAAATTAGTATCTTTTCTCCATTAATTTTGCTCTTTTGTATAAGTTTTTTTTATTTCAGCTAATATATATATTACCAACCATTAACTAAGCATCATTGTCTTTAATGATAGTATGTCGATTACTTAAAGTTCTTCTAGACAAATAAATATCTTTACTCCATTACTTTTTCTTTTTTAGTACATAGCATATTTCTTTTATTTCAATATGCATACATAACCCAAATTAATTAAGCATCATTGGAGTTAATAATAATATGACGATTTTTTACGCGTCTCCCAAACAAATTTGTATAACTTTTCTATTAATTTTGTTTTTGAATACATATATACTTTTTTTTCATTTCAATTGCCGATGATTTTAAATAATTATTTTGTTAGAAACACATTTTAAAATAATTAATATAAATAAAAAGAGCGTGGTATCAGGCAACTTTGAAAGTATAAATTTAGTGACAGACCATGCGTTCTACCACGTAATGTTGTTCATTGAATTTATCTGACAAAGTGAACATAAAATAATCAAATATTTAAATAAGAGCAATAAACTATTTTTTGATAAAAAAGATCTATAAGCTCTGATCACTGATATTAACGTTATAATACCTAATAAATTGAATCACTTATCGTTAAATTTAAAACGATGGCTAACGCTTAACCAATCAGAAAATTCCTTTTCGTGTTTTGGTCATCCCGCTCGAATGCTTCGTCGTAGAATATTTTAATGTCGACAATGATCTTCCTCGTGCTACAAATTATCTGTATACCGAATTTCATCGATTTCGGTTGGGTGGTTTTTGAGTCTATAAAGGATACACAGACAAACATTTATTTATATATATATATAGATAGACAATATATAAGTTTGAGTAATAGCTATAAACAATTTATTTGGTACTACGCAAACGGCTTTTAATTTCATTTTAATGGCAAAATTTTATTGTTTGACAAAATTTTATTTTTGTCAATTAAGACATGCTTTGAACTTTTGCTTATCAAAACAGAAAATTACCGCTTGAAATATCAGTGAAAGGTGTCAGGTTTCAAATTGATTGAGTCCGTGAGAGACGATTACTGTCAAATCAACGACACGATAGTCTGTGATTGATGCGATTTTTCTCTTTTGAGTATGGCATCATATTCCTACCACTTTTTGAAACAATGCTTAGATGCATGAAATAGATAAAACTTTCAGTTTACAGGGGTATTGAAAAACCCCATAAGAGTAATAAAGACTGAATATAGCTGCATAAAAATTACTATAAAAATGGATAGCGTAAATTTAATGACAGAACAAGTCTTAACAACTCTTTCATCGAAAAAAAATTTTGTACTATTAATTGTCGTTTTCACAATAAATCTTGTTATGTGAATAAAGATATTCCACTTAAAACATTGTTTGTGGCTCAATACTCTCCTGTATTTTAGAATTTTCTGATTTATCGGTTTAAGAGTTTCGTAAATTTAGCGATTTCAATGTAATTATCTCATTATTCATAATTTTCAAACATTTTTATGCTCTGGTAGTTTTTTACTATCTTAGAATTTATGGGGAACTACGCAACAATTTAACTCGATATTTGTTTTCAGGTTTATTTTTTTTAATGATTTTACGATTTAAAGAAAAATCTTATTTTTCATAATCATAACATACGAAGTTCTTCGAGCAATAATCTTTATTCTTCCTATAAATTTTTTTCCAGAGTATTTAATGCTCTATTTGTCCGTATATTACATTTCTCATTTTAAAATATGCTTACTAGCTTAAACGGCATGCATTAAGTCATCTTTGACATGATAGCCCAGAAGCTTTACAGAGAAGCTTCTTTCAGGGCAACCTATTATCAGAAGTCTAAAAATTCTTCGACCACAATCTTGGTTAACTTGTTGTTAATCATGACCGACTAGTAGGTCATGAGTCATGACCCAAAGATTCGAAAATTGTATTCAATTGAATCGAGACAGCGAAATTTTGGATTTGTGAAGAGCTTTGAAACAAAGTATTCGTTGTTGGAATTTTCGACCATTCGTCCAACATGAGAGGATTAGTTCATTCCTTAATAGTTTTAACATTTGTTCCTTATTTGTTCTCTAATTTTTTGAACTAAAATCTCTTTCGCTTTAGGTCAATTTCTATAAATTTCTTCTTACTTAGTCATTTTACTTAGGTCATTTTTCAATAGGTTTCTTCTGAAAACATTTCTTTCAAAAAATGCAATTTTGTATTCTTAAGCTTTAGTTGCAAGACCCAGTTTTCGAAACATACTCTCGGTCCGGCTCGGTTATGAGAGTTTTATAAGAAACTTTGTTTTTATAAGAGAAAACGGGCCCTTAGCCCCAAAAGGGAAATCCAAAAAACATTTTGCTGGGAAATGAAATATGATTTTGGATTTCAGAAAAAATGTCAATTTTGGGTTTAAAAGAGCTCCTTAAAATCAGGTCCGACATCAAACTCATAAGGGCCGATTTTCAAAAGTTTGAGTCGATCATTAGATGATATTTTATGTAGTACAGACATGCTTTTAGAGTCATTTACAGTTAATTCTGCATGATTTACAGCTATTTCTAAAGCGGAAAATGCTTTTCTTTAAAGTAGGACGTTTCTAGTAGCAATACCAAAATCATCGGCGTAAGCTAAAACCTTATTTGTAAAGTTTATGAATTCATTATTTGAATCGTGAACAGTCTCTCCCAGAGCTATTCACAATACGCTCTTCTTGGGCTGATAAAGTAGTTATTGGAGTAAGAAGAATTTTATAAAAGACAACTGCTTATCTAACAGATGTATTTCTAAATCATATGTAGTGGTGAGAAAAACAAATATTTTTGAAACATTAAAAAAAGAACATTAATGTTGCTATCGAAAAGAAAAACTTTCCTCAACGACTAAGATATGGCCACAATACCATGTGATTGCTGAAATAGATTTTCAAAACAATCAATAAGTGGTAACAAAATGCTAAAGTAGCAAAGAATAAATTTATTTGATTACCTTTAGGAGCGCTTTTACTAATGCAGCATTAGGTAACAAACATAAATTAAGACGCACTAGACTATCGTGTGTTTCTTGATAAAAAGCTATCAAAGAGACTTCTGCGAGGAAAAATTAATTAAGTGAGCTTATGTTGCTTTATCTCCATTGCGAATATCGAGTGATTCTAACATAATAAAAATTTATGATAGAGGCTAATCGATAAGAAAAAGGTCTTCGTCTCAAACTTTTGAGATTGATTTTACCGGAGAAAAAGCCAATGCTTTTTCATCGAATTTCGACTTCCCCTCCCCCCCCCCAGAGTCGACCAGATGAGGTCAAAGAAATCGAAAAGCAAATATAGGCAGAGAGACAAGAGGGACGATGGAAAAGAAAATGTTTGAGGAATGAGAAGCGAAGTGAAATGATCGATGAGAAATCCATCTGCCGTTGCCGAAGTGTCTATACTGAATCATGCATGAAGGTTTCTGCAGTTCTTTCAGTAGGAATGATGGAGTTTTGTCTCTCCACTCACTTAAAAGTGAATCTCTTCCCTTTTTGCTTTGGCAACATTCTCACCAAATTGCCAGAAAGAAAATTAAAGATTTACAGTTTGAATAAATCGAAAGCGGCTCATTTTGTATTGATAAATGCTTTTACATTTTCGGCTTTGTTATGGAAATTTTTTTGAGAAGATGGTAGGATTTTTTTTATAGTTTTTGCTGATAAATGTATTGATAAGTTGAGATGTTTTTTTTAACTAGTAAATGAAACTTTTTTTAAGTTTGAAATACAAAACAGTGAAACAAAAAAATTCATTTGTAGCTCATTTCCGACCCCGCATTGCTATATGATTTCGAGTCGTCAGGATGCACTCTACCCCTCTCAGGAGTTCTAGATAGTGGTCGTAAATAGAGGTGGTCTCTTCCGGAGGTTCAATCATTTATTTAAAATAAAATGATGATGAATGGTTTGAGTATTTTATTCTTGATTATGATGCATAATTTACAACCCTCTCTTGTGATTTCGTGTTTTTTATATGACTTTTCCTTCTTTTTGTGAGTCTGCTTTGTTTTCTCACTTCAGATCTGCTTTTTAAAGCACTCTTAAGATAGATAAGTAATGTAAGCGAACTAGACGCATGATGTAGGTGATTGAGGTAAAAAAAATGTGAGTAACATTATTAAATCGGCGGGGAAAATAAAATGAAAGGGAGCCTTTTGATTCCGAAAATTTTTCCAAAGGGCATCAGGAGGTTGGATAAAAAAAAAAAATACGCGAACTCCCAACGATTTATAAAGTAACTGCCATAAAGGTAATCTTCAAACAGTAAAGTCTTTAGAACTCGTTATACAAGTAGACTATTCAAACTACTTAAAAAGTGAATCAGTTAGAGCTCGAGCCAACTTCTTCCAGAAATTTCGAGAAAGAAACAAACATGTCACACCTCAATAAATATACACCGAGCCGTGATGGGGCAGGGGATAGAGTGCTCGCAATCAGTGTTCATAAACCAGTGGTGAGTGGTTGGTCTGAATTCAGCTCTGGGCTCGAAACAGATCACAGTGCAGAGACAAAATATCCTCAGTAATAGACGGATCTTGAGATAGAATCTCCTTGCTGTAAGACTAACTTTAAAAGTTTTCCTCTCCATGTAACGCAGTAGGTGAGTTCATTGAAAAGTCCTCCACGAAAGGTATTTCGCCCCAATACTTGATTCAGTAGTTGCCTTCTGGGTTGGTTTTAAAATCACAAAACCACGGAGTTGAACATTGTTAGTCGTATTCTCAGAATTGGGTCGCCTGTTCAAAATATCGGTTATAAAATAAAATAAATATAAATGTATAAAATATAAATGTATACCCAGAGCTGCGGAAGCTCATGGCATCAAACGCTCGTCTCCTACTAAGGTACGAATTCCAGCGATGACTGGTCGCTACAAAATCTACTCTTTGATCGCATCGATCACAGCGCTGGCAAAAAAATATCACCAGTGGTATACGGTTGTCTTCTGGATTGGGTTCAAAGGGAGTTAAACTTTGATAATCTTGAACTCAAAATTTAACAAGCTGTTCAACGCCAGTTATGATATTAAATATTAAAGAAAATATGACCAGGTCTGACATATAGTCTGAATACGGTTATCTTGTTACTTCAGAAGATGGAAAGTCTAATAAGTATAGCTAGTAGTAATAAGGGAATAGGGTTAGTAATAAGGGAATCATATCGTTAAAACAGATGTAATTGTAATAGAGTTTGCAAACGTGAAAATATGACTCACGCTCTCGAAGTCGTCCTTATTGTCGATGTGTTGGGCAATGAACATGGCATTGTGGATTGCTCGTTCAATCTGCCGGGGTAGCCGCTTCTCCACAATACCCGGGCTCGATTCCAGGTCATGGATTACCAGCTCCTCCGACAATCTTCGTCCTGTGCTGTTTACCACTTGTTCCTTCATGTAACCTAAGAAATATAATATCAATCTCTGAATGAAACACACTGAAGTTATGACTATGTACTCATTAGGGAAGTAATATGGCGATTGTAATAATTATATTTAAACAAAATTCTGTAAATGAATAAAATATTAGGTTACTTCTTTTCCTCTGTTTAACGATTTGTTGACAGGACTGATATAAATCTTCTTCTCATGTCTCTGTACGCAATGAAATGTGTGCGCGTGTGTCTCTGCACCGTAGTGATAAGAATCATATCATTAACAAATTTCTAACAAACAGATCTTTGTTTAATGCTTCCTACACTATTTACCACTTATATAATTTTGTACATTATTATATCAACTTGTAATCAGAGGATTGCTTGTTTTAGACATTATAAATACGTTTTCATCTTGATTTAACAATATTTTCAACTAGTTTTCAAATCGAGACAGAAAAATTCAAATGTCTTTATAATTATCGCTCTTTGAACGCAAACTACAGGAAAATTATACTTTGATTAAATATGAAAACGTATTTCAACTCTTTAACAGTGGAGTTTGTTTAAACTATTAAAATAAGGTCGCAACTAATAAGACAGAACACACACACACACTGCACCATTTCCATCTAACACATAGAGACCATTTAAATAAAGTGGTTATTGTTGTTGTTGTTAATTTACGTCGCACTAGAGCTTCACAATGGGCTATTGGCGACGGTCTGGGAAACATCCCGGAGGATGATCCGAAGACATGCCATCACAATTTTGATCCTCTGCGGAGGGGATGGCACCCCCGCTTCGGTAGCCCGACGACCTGGGCGCGAAATAAAGTGGTTAATAAAGATTAAAGTGTAAAGATTTTAACATTGCAGCAGGTAATTTATGGTGCCAGAGAGGTACCCTCGAGTGGAAATGTAGTTGCTTTATATTTATGCCATGCAATTTTAAAAATTCAGTCTTATTTCATGATGCATATAAAATAAATGAAGATGTATTCAATCTTCAATCGATTTCAAATCTTAATTGAACATTACTGTTGTTTAAGAAATTCTTAAGACTTGCATTATTTCTAAACAGTAATAATTGTGACAATCATACTATAACGAAAAATATATTTTAGAAACTAAACAGAATGCTCACAAGCTTTCTTTGAAATTTATTGATTTTTTACTTAAGAAAAATAAAGATACATTTGTAAATATATTACAAATATAAGTTTCTTTTTGCATAGGTTAATAAATTTGTACTTTGCTTCATCAGGCTAATTATCTATTTTATATGTCCTAGTTTATTCCCGTCCTTGGTAGTCACTGTATCAGACCTATTCTGTGGAGCTAAACCATACAAAATACGACAACAATAAGATAAGGATAATTAATCTCCTGAAGCAAGAAACATCTGGTGCCGTTAACGACTTTGATGGGAGTATATAGAAGATAAGTTTGGAAATCAATCATCAAGTTTGAGTGCTTCATGTACTTCCTCGAAATATCTGAAAGTTTCCACAGAGGTCTCTATAGGTAGTCTCATTCAACTAGTGCTCAACGTGTTAAGCAAACTAAAGCATTTTCCTTAGCAACAAAAAGCTAGCTAGAGCGCTAGTAATTATCCACAACTTACTACTTTTTTTAGTGGTAGGAAAATTCATGTTTTAAAGTAAGATTCTTTTTTTTCTGGTGAATTCCTTTTAAAATTATTTTTTACACCACTACATGTAAATTGTTAAAAAGTTCAGATAAAACGTCCCTGAGATCCAATTAGCTGATGGTGAGACTTCGAAAATCGCTCATGCGCTGCAATAGAGGCACAACTCAAAAAATCATGTTTTGAGATAAGTGGGTTTAAAGTTTTTGTTGCTAAGGAAAATGCTTAAGAAATGCTTTAGTTTGCTTAACACGTTGAGCACCGCGTCAGCCATCGGTGCCTGACGCTGAAATTACATTTAGGCAGCGTCTGCCACCGCTTGCTGACACTGACCTTTCACATAGGCCGCGAAAAATAGCTGGCTGACAGATACAGAACTATAAAATTTACACTCTTTTATGGAATTGAAGAAAATTTATTCAAAATTTACTTAATTATTGTGATTCTTGGTTTAATGAATTCAATTTAATAGATATTTATCCACCACTATTTTTAAACAATTCGTAGGTATATATAATTCACTACTTTTTTCAGACATATCATGCTAAACCTTTTACAAACAATCAAAATCTGTCTATATTCGCAAATTTAGTCTAATTAAAGTCTATATTTGCAATTTTAATTAATGTCTATATTTGCAAAATTAATTTATAAAATTGAATTCCTCATTTTATAGAAAAGCCATTCACTACAAGACAGCTAAGTTCAACACATTTCAAGAACTTATAGCCATTACAGCCAAATATAACCTTGGCGTTTGCTTCTTTTGAGTGGATATTATCTTTATTCTCTAAAAGCACTAAAATCGTCAGTTTTCTGCGAGCAATCTACTGTCCACATTTTTNTTTACACCTGTTCTTAGTCCAAAATGCGTGTTTTTCAAATTGTGCCACTATTGCAGCCCATTAGCGAAATGTTGACAAAATCAACCAAAATTCAGAAAGCTTCAGGTTTTGACAGCGTGTCAACTACTCCGTAAAAATCAAAAAGCTTATTGGTTAGCAGCCCAGCTTCTGTTAAGAAATTAGCATACGAAACTATATATATATATTTGATTTATTAATAAGTAGTGGTTAGACAGAACGTGAGAAAACTCTAAGTAGGTTTAAGAAATATTTTTGTTACAATTAATGTTTCTTATTTTTAGACGCTTTTGCATATAACTAATTAATTTTTTCCTTTTTAAGTAGTTTTATGAGACAATCATTAACCCTCTTAGGGCCAATGTCATGAAGACTGTTCAATTTATTTTTGACGATAGTATAATGAATTAAAATTGTATTTGATTTTTTTAAACTTAATCAACGAATACTCTTATTCATATTTTATTAACTACATTAAACAAACTGAGTCATTTAATTAAAAAATTGAATTCCTCATTTTATAGAAAAGCCATTCACTACAGGACAGCTAAGTTTAACACATTTCAAGAACTTATAGTCATTACAGCCATATATAACCTTGGCGTTTGCTTCTTTTGAGTGGATATTATCTTTATTCTCTAAAAGCACTAAAATCGTCAGTTTTCTGCGAGCAATCTACTGTCCACATTTCTTCGAATTACATGTTATATCGACTGGAAAGTTTTGTCCGAGAATGACTTCCTCCTCTTCTTTATACAAGAAAGAGAAAGGCTCCTTTATTAAAAAGAAGTAGTAGGGCATTTATCCTTAACACGTTCACGCCGGCCGTTGCGACTGAAAGCGGGACGGAAAAGAGAAAATACTGGTAGAAGACCTATTTCAATATTAGATAATATTCGAGAGGAGTTAATCTATTCTCAACAATAACAATTCACTGTAAGAAGAGGCAATTCAATATAAAAATTGCCTCCGCTAAAAACAATTGGTAGTTATGGATTTTTATTATTCCTGGAAAAAAACTAAAAAATAAAATTTATTTGTTACCAGTTTTTACTCCAGTGCGCCGCCAGATGAGACAATCTAGCGTGACCCACCGGTGGGTCACCCCGGCATGAACGTGTTAAATGTATACTATAGATATCAGATGTAGTGCTTTCGTTGCAAGTTGGAATATGCATGCACATGCTCTTTTGTCAGAGATGCCAACTGCTCCGGGCACGCCAAAATAATTAAAAAAACGGTAAATAACTACAAAATAAATTTTGCCAATATCTGACAACTTTTGCTTTCTTTTTAAAAGGTATAGCATGACATAAGTATTACAAAATGGTGAATTATATAAGCCTAGGAATTATATTGAAATAGTGGTGGTTAAAAATCTACTAAATTGAATTTATTAAACCAGGAATCACAATTGATTAGCTACCACTTTAAAATATAAATTTGCTGCCCGGAGCAAGTTGGCATCTCTGTTTTGTTTCAAATATGCTTTGTCTCTAGCTAGAATATTACCATTGAGTTAAGGGGTAAATACCATACCACCTTCTTTTACAAGACAACCTTTAGCATTACTGTAAAACGAGGCTTGTACTTCCGCGGGAAGAACATTGCTGTAGATTTAATAACCACAATATTTTATGAATTTTAGAAATTATTTAAAAATATTGTACTATGTAGTTTAAATGATTTGGTGTTGAGATTAGTTCAAGCAGCATATTAAAGTATTCAGAGAGCAAGAGGTCAAAATAATGTAGCGTTTTTTTAAAATTATTTTTTAAATTTTTCATAAAAGTTTAAAATTGCCATCGGCTTCACTTCCCATGGCTTGTCAAATGGAGGTGTATACCTGAGCCAAACATGGCCTTTGTCCATTCATCGTGTCCATAATAGTGTCCGTGAAGTAGATAAATTACATAAAAGTTTAATTTAGGAGAGGAGAGCATAAATCCGGCAGTTTATTACATATGTAATATTTTTTAAATGACAATTTAATATTTGTAACGGACAATATGAACTTCAAATCGATTGCAGGCTTCTAACAAAGTTATGACAAAGAGTAAAATCCAACCTTCTGCAAGTGATGGTGCCGGGGCGGTTCCCTTATTGTCGTCGGTCTCAATCTTGTACTGGGGCGGCCTCATGAGAAGAATTCGGGGCAGCAGGCGGATGAAGATTCTCCTCACCCAGGGCGCCATTCGGTGGGTCGAAGGAGACCGGAAATGGACATTGAGAACAGCGATCGTCACGATCACGGATACAGTTACAAGGATCATCGTGAACACGAGGTATTTGCCTGAAAATAAAACATTCTTAAATGTTAGCATTAAGAAATCGTCCTACAAAACTTATGCTGTAACTTAGTTTCCAATAGTCTATGAGAAATCTAATTTTGAAAAAGTCGTATTTTTAAAATTTGATTTCTGAGGAACTATTTGACCGATTTTGCTCATATTTTGTATTTTGCCATGAAAAACTTTGGATTGCTCTCCTGATAAAACTATTGCAACCCTATTTCTCAGATTGCGGTTACCCCCTATATTTTAGGGGTCCGAAATCCGAATCCGTCGAAAAAAGGGTATGAAGGGTGGGTGATGTTACTTTTCAGCGATTTCCTGGAACGGATTAATTTTTAATTAACAAATTAATTTTTAACAATAGATTATTTTGTTTCATGAAAATCATAGGTTACCAACCTTTTTTTAGCTCATTGTTCACTTTGAAAAGAAAAGTTCCTTAACAAAGTTTATTAAACAATTAAAAAAAACTTTTTAAAATTCTTCAAAATTTTTGATATGATACACTTTAAATCATATCGTAATTTTATAGAAGAAAACTTCTGCTGGTGATGAATAAATTTAAATTTGTTACTTATATATATATATATATATATATATATACTTTGTTCTTCTGTCTTACCTGTTGTTAATTTGTCATCGACTGTATTGGTTCTTTGACCTATATTAACTTGGGACCTCCGTTTACCTATGACCTTTTAATGTTTTCTTATGTTCACTTCTGGTACATGTTTTTTTTAATGGTTCACTTTATGTTTTACTGTTCTTGAATACATCAACAGTTTATACTTTGTGTCATTTATTAACCTGTCACAATGTTAATGATCGCTTTGATTTAGCGACCCAACTTACTCTGTATTATTACTCGTTTCAATCCTATGTACTGCCTGCACATGATGCATTGTATGTCATACCGTACTCTCCTGCGATGTGTTGTAAAATTTTTCATTTGTGTCTTTGGCTCACTATAAGGGAGGTCCCGTCGGCTTCGGCACTATAAGGCGGGACTCTCGGAGCATTTTAATTATTTTACTGCTGTTGCCATCAGACTCTGTAATGTTTTCGTACTTTTGCACTTTTTGTATTTTATGTACTTTTCTGTTTTTCTTGATTTTAATAAAGATTTACCCGTATGCCCTAAATTAGGGCAGGTCGGGGTAAATATTTCATATTTTTATNTATATATATATATATATATATATATATATATATATATATATATATATATATATATATATATATGTATATATATATATATATATATATATATATATATATATATATATATATATATAACTTTTTATTAAAATACTCCTCATGTAAAAACTATAAATGTTTGCAATGAATTCGATATATATCTTTCATTCAATGTATCATTTTTCAATCTAAATAAGCTATCAAATACAAGCAGTTTAAATATTAAACTACATATTTTTATAGGTCTATGAAAAATAATGAATATAATTTGATAAAACTGATCTTACAGTGTTTCTAGTACATGTAGTAATAGTACTAACATATTTTACAATCAATTCAGACAGTTGTTATTAATAAGATAATAGAACGTAATTCGAATTCTATCAAATAAGAGCGCCGAAGAAAGTTTAAATATTACCTAAAATCTCATTAAAGATAGGAAATATGATTAATAACAGTTCTTCAGGTGAAATTGTACCCCATGTTTATATCCAAGTCGTCAAATATAAATAGTTTTAATTTCATAAGAATATTGCAATCAATCCAGTACACTATTACAATCCCCTTCAACATAACGCGAATATTAAAATTGCAAAATATAAAATTAAGAATAGTTGAATTTGAAATCACTATTCATCACTGTTTATTTTATATGCAGTTTCCATTAAAGCTACAAAATGAGTATACGCTTATCTCTATATGTTAAAAATTATTCAATTATGATGAATTTTTCTGTTAGTGAAATTGATCATGACCAGCCATCGCTTGGATTCGAACCAGGATAACCACATAGGGCGGTAAGCTCCTTATCCCCTGAGCCACCAAAGCTCCCTCTATGATATTTGTACGGAATCTGTAATGAAATCTTCATTCAATAATTTCGATTCTAAAAATAAGAACCTTCTTTAGGGTCTGAACTAAGCTGAATCAGTGTCCTCAAAAATTAAAAAAAACTCAATAAAATTTCTGAACAGATATTTGAAAGCATACTGCATTACTTCTCAATTTTAGTATTCTGGGAACAGAAATCTCACGCAGAGATTCTCTAACAGAAATAGTTTTTATTTTAAAAAAAAAATAATTGGCAAGATAAAGAGATGAGTTTTCGCATCACCTCCACACGGTTTCTTATAAGTAGTCTGCGCAGATTATTTAAAAAGCGAACCACTTGTGCGCATGAACCCAAATTCTATTTTAGAATTACTGGATGCTGGATATTGGGGTTATCTCGGAGCGCCACTAACCGATTCATCGATTCTGTTTTGTTGTATTCTGGGAGGTCCTATATATCTTTGAAGTTGTAGTATGTTATTTTAGAAGTACTTGAGAGAAATTTATCATATATATTGGAGAATTGAATCTGTAGTGGTTGATAAGTAAATAAAACAAACCAATTATATTCATAAATTAAAAAATTTTTAGACATATATTTGCTACCACTTTCTAATTTTTAATAGATTTCATATTAAATGGTTCTTTCACTAATTGGTTTAACTAATATCAATTCATGCTTAATTTATCAAGCAAATTTGCTTGATCTTCTGTACTGCTACTTCAATGCTGCATAATTCAAAATGTTTTTAATACAACTTGTAAATAGTACTTCATGATGTATGGGTTAGGGGCCGCTGCGCGGCCCAGGCACCCAATTTTTGCTAATAAACGAAACGAAACGAATTAGTTTAACTTCGCAATGGTCTGATCGGACTACCTATAAAAAACCGTGTGGTGTCTTTCAGTTATACGTGTTGTTGGTTTTCGGGATATTCCTTATCAATTTTTTCTACCACCATTTCAGTTTTCTGAGGTTGCTGATTAGATTAGTTTAGACGCAAAATAGTACTGTGTTTAAACACTAAAGAAGGTTCTTGTTTATCGAATCGAGACTATACTATGTTCATTTCTGTACCTTTATTTGTCCCTTAATCATGTTGTTTTACTATATTTGCATAACAAAATAATCAGAAAATTACTTCAAAGGGAAATACTTTCACTTAAAGTTCAAAATGGTTGGGAAACTAACTCAACCAAGAATTTTTCCCTCGTGTAATTCGTAGAAAATTGCATACTGTATAAAAATTAATGTAAAAACTGTCTAGTACATATATTTAAAAAAAAAGAATGGCAACTTTATATGATTGACGAGTAAATCGATTGAAAATTTCCGAACGCCTGTATTTGATAACAAAAAGGATGACAAGCTAGTAGATGTATAACATGCCTTGTGGGTTGACCAGAAGATTGAAGTATTCCTTTTACCTCTTGAATCGTATGAAAAAAAAACTTTTTTCATTTATTAAATCTAGAATTTTGTTTTTAAACACTTTAAAACCTGATGCACTTAGAAAAAATTTTGCATTCCCTTTATTTTTTCTGGTATAAATAGATAAATAGAAAACGTAAAAAGTGTTAAAAAGGTTATTACAATTTGAAAATTAATCTAATAGATTAAAGATAATCCTTGTGCACCAGAATGCATTTCTAAATTTTAGATATAGTTTAATCTTTGTAATGGATATTTTTAATACAAAAATAGTTTCTTTTAAAGAACAAATTTTTTATAAAATTTAAATTAGTTTTAAAGTGAATATATTACCACCATGCACATATTGGGTTAATTTATAACCGCACAATTATGCTGGCAAGCTCTTACAGTTGTACGATCATGCAGATAAGTTTAACTCTGACCTCATAGTAGATTAGGCCTAAAATTAAGATGGAAAAGAAAAGGGAAAAAATGGTTCAAAACCATTTTATATTGATTGCTGGTTTTCGAATGGAGTAAAATAAACGCTTCTTCCTCATCATTATCACGACAGCCCGTGGTAGACACTGACTTTCTCTAAAGCATTTTTCAATGCATTTCTCTTTATTGCGAAAAAATAATCTCTTTCTATTATAATTATAAACTATTCATCGCTATTTACAGAGCTGCCAACGGTTTTTGGAAAAACTTCTACTAGTAGTAGTTAAGTTTATGTTTTAGTGTGTGATTCTTTGTTGTGTAAATTTGATTAAAAGTTATTTTCCACACCACTACATGCAAATTGATTCAAATGTTCATATGAAACGTCACTTTGTTCCAGCTATCTTATGGTGAGGCTTTTAAAACGTTGGCAAAATTACAAAAAAGTTCTGAAAGGTTTAGTTATTCCTTGTTAGTTATAGCAAATAAGGATATCATAGCCTTATTGGTTATAGCTAGTAAGGAATAAAAAATTTAGATTTAGTTATAGCTTAAGTCACTCCATGAAATATTTTTCAAAGAGCATAGTAGTTGGCGGCCCCGCTATTTAATTTTCTCCAATACAAAACAGGCCTATGTAATACATGTTGTAATTTGTAAGAAATAGTAGTACTCCTCCCAAAAACAGGCTTGAAGGAAATGATTTTTTTAACAGATTTTGCTGCTTTTCGCTTTGATCAGCCAACTTTCTGCCCCTGCAGGGAAATTTTCTTCTACTGGTAGCTACACTTATGTTTTAATACATGATTCTTTGTTCTATAATTTTGATTTAAAGTTACTTTCCACGCCACTACATGTAAACGATTCAAAATGTTTAAAGAAACTGAATATTTATTTTTTCCTTTTTAGTGATGAAACTTTTAAAATGTTGGCAAAATTACCAAAAATTCTGAAAACATTAGTTTTAAATTATCTACCACTCTAAGAAATGTTTTGAGAAAATCGCAGTAGTTGGCAGCCTTGCTTATGTAAGCTATCATCCATGTAGCAGATACATCTACAGAACTATTAACTTATCCATATTGCTGTCGGAGAGTTTTCCTCAAATACTTAAAG